TTGGGATATAGTTGGAGGGACTTCAACGTCCTTTTAGTTCACACAGTTTATTGTAATTGAGACCGCGGCATCGTGAATCCGCGAGCAACTCTTACACGTTGGGGCACTAGCTGTCCAGCTAAGCTGGTAGATGACTGCTAACTTTTTTCGCGAGCTGGAATATTCCATCCAGCTAAACAGTGTTCCTAGGGATAACTTCGCTCCTATCGTGAATACACTCTTTAGAGGCAGAAACATCTGGCACGAGCACTACGAACGCCATAGAAGGCCATATGAGAACAGTGGCTAAACGTCAGCAACTTTTCGCAAACTTTTCGTGCAGGCAATTCTGCGCTGCCTTTATACTTCGCGCCTCGGACGTTGTGGAGAGTGTAGACCGTGGGGAGACGGTGCGGACACTGTGGAACGCCAACCAAAATCAATATAGTGACTAGGCTTGCTCAAACACCGACAAAAAGTGCATCAGACTTACGCGAGATACGATAGGTGTTGGCTGTAGTACCATTGTAGGCAAAGGACGAGCGACTTCGGATGACAAAGGTGGAAGCTAAAAGTATAAAAGTTGTACACAGCAGGTATCAATGAAGAACCATTCTGTTACCACTATTCAAATGATCTTGGGAAGACTTCGGTCCAAGCACAATTTCCGGAAATTCCCCATAGCGCAATAATACAAGCAAACACGGAATGAATAAATACGTGGTGATTAGCGCTTTTCCATGATATGTCACATGGTTGCTTCGAACCTATTTAAAGGTACATGCGCAACTACCGTTAATATTCGTTATCATCCTGATCGCGATTTTAGGCGCCAATATGCCCTCTGCTCTTCCACCCCAACACCACTCCCAGCCATCCTATTATGTACGAGAGCCAAGTATGTCTAGTGTATGTATGTCCAAGGATACAATTCTAGGGAGAATCAGAGTCACGTTGTGGAGAGGGTGACGCGCTCAGAGAGGACTGCGGCTGCGAGCGTTAGGCTAAGATGATGCGGTGTGACTCACTGTGGAAAGGGGGTAGAGGTCGCAATGGCGTCCGCTTCGAAAACTTCAAGAGCAGTATGGAGCGTCCGCTTACAGTAATTTTTGCCCACCCTGCACGTATTTGAATGTTGTGCGAAAACGAACTAGATGGAGTGCTCTCATTTGTTTTTATCCTACTCTCTCCCAAGAAAATGATAGATCGCCTTAGATATCTCTAAACCTATTAAAAGAATTAATCAATTGTGAGTTTTGAAATTTCGCAATAAAATTAACAGTGCTGACAATTTTTACACCAGGGTAAATAATTGATTTCGTGCGGAATTTTTACAGTAGGCCGAATAAACCACCACAGTCTCTTGAAAAAAAAAAACTCACAGACGGCGGTGGACACTCGAAGCGTGGTAACACCATAGAAGACGGCATAGCTCCAATACTAGGACCCTTAAACGACAAACAATGCTCCTCATTCTATTTACAACTGCTAACTTAATTATTTTTGTGAAGCTATTCCAAAATCTATGTGTACGGCATGAAAAACCTTCTTGAGCACTCCATGTGGATTTACCTGGTTTGCAGCACACTGCTTTCCACACACTAATCACAATGGCCAGGATGGTGGTGCGGTTTTGATGACGTCATTGAATGCCACTGGTGGAAGGGATTTTAGAGGCCAATCACACATCTCAACGCGCTGGGTGGTCTAGTCCACCAATGACGATCATCGCGCCATCAAAACTGCTCTGCCCTCCAAACATCTGACCACGCCTTTGGGATGTAAACTTTTTATGGTTTCTTTCGGAAGTCATTTAAAGATACAAAGACAATACGTTGCGTCAATATGACGCCATATACACTTTTTCTATGTGGTTGATTTAGAAGGTTTACGCAAAAAAAAACTGAAACCTACACATGATGCCGACTGCGCCATGGGTTGCTGCGCTGGAAAAATTGGCATTTGAATGGCAGGTGGAGGAACATTGAAATTCGTGACCTAAATCAAAAAAATTATTTTACGACTGTTCGAGTGTGCACTACTGCGCCCGAAAACTGAAGAGGAAATGGCTGTGATCAATATGTGGTCGAATTGCAATGGTTCAAGCAACTCTCCCTCAATTTCTGCTGGAACATGCCTCTGGGGTACTTGGTGGTGTCGTTTGCTCTCATAATTGTTCGAGTGAGGATCATTTACTTGCATTTTCAGGCGCATTATTCCACTAGTCTATTGTGCAAGCAGGTAACGGCCTTTGAGTGCATTAATCGCAACAATCGCGATGAATATTGCTTGTCTGTAGTCCTTTTCCCGAGGTTGGCATACCTTCACTTCCTATGACCTCTTGTGAATAACCTTGCCAAAGTGCACGGCTTACCATTCGTTGTACATCTCATGGTGCACCTAAACCTCAAAAGAGGTCCTAATCCCTCATACAGCTAGGTCGGACATCCGGTGATGAACATCGCGCTTCTTTGGATTTTCAACCGCTCCTTGGCCTACCGTGTACTGAAGAGAAGACCAATGGAAGTAGTCTTTGTTGCGGCCGCCCCACAAGTTCTGACATCTTGGATCTCAGGAAAAGCATGAAGAAGCGAAACG